GGAAAGACTAATATGATCATGCAAGGCACTGATAAAACCTCATCCAGACTATTCCATACACTTCTAATTACCCATATTTAATGGAAAAAAAAAAACAAATTGAAATATGTATAGAAAGGGCTACTATGATGGTCACAAAAATGTTTATGAGAAGGGGCCTATTTAGTCTGCAAAACCAAATCTGAGGTACTGAATATAATAACGGGCATGGAGAACAACAATACTTAAGGGCAAAGATGGCATAAAAATAGATGTATATCAACTGATTGAGAGTTTTAGGCTAGATTTCACATGAAAAAACTTTAATCATCAGAACAACAAAGTTGTGGCAGAGACAAAGTACTGACAGATGGTCTTTGAAATGGGACTTTGAAAAATTTTTGAATGAGATAAAATACAACTGCCACAGAACAGGACGGTCACATTGCCATAAAAGTTTATTATAAGTTGGTGTCCTAACAACTCAGACACTAAGAAAACCTCAGCTTCTCAAAAACTGCATGCAAGAACAATCCAGAGAAATTTTAGGGGTAATCTAAAACAGAGAGCAAGTTACAACAAGTAAGTTAATATAAAAATGAAAATTCTCCCAACTCTGAAGTTACCCTACCAAAGTGGTCTTACTAGCTGGAACTGCAGGTCTTCATCCAGTGACAAATTAGGAATTGATTCTCTCAATTCTGAGAATCAGAAATAACTAAATTCAAATACAGACTATTCTTTGTCACACAAAAAGTCACTAAATCAAAACCAGAAGAAAATGAATAATTTCCAAGTAATTTCCCTATGCCAAAAAAAGAGCAAAGGAAGAATTTACATACTAACTTCCTGAGTAAGGACAAAGGCTCTTCTTATACTTTTTAATTTTCGCAGCACTTCTAATTCAAGCTCTCATTCCTGAGATATAGGTCAGAGCTCTTTCACAAAACAGAGTTGACCATCTGCAGCAAAAACTATGCACTTGGGCAGTTAATATCTTTACTTTCTCACAGAAAATGCCAAAGTAATCACAGCAAATAGCATGAAAAAGCTTGAAACATGTCCTCCAATATTGGATAGACAGTTACAATCTGCCTACAAAGAATCATTAGCCAAAAGAGTAAGAATGTAAAAGGTGCACACAGGCTGTGGCAAAATACATGCAAATTTATTTCCACAAAAAGTGCTTTACACCATCTCAGCAAGAACTGTATTATTGCATAAACGCTAAATCAGCAGCAGATCCACACTGTGGAAACATTGACACTGTGTCTGTAATACGATTTTTAAGAATTGCTAGGATATAAGGGCAATAATGGACACATAAATCAAAAAACTGCTACGTAAGACTAAATGGACTTAAGTTGCTCACACGTATCAGTGCCCAGTGCCATGAGAGAAGCCCCATGCTATTCAGAACATCCATAAAGGGCTGGCAGCTACAACACTAAGCTGATGGTGGACGGCTTGGGTCACAGATGAAAGCCTTGTTGCAGTTGCTTTGACACGTAACGCAAATATAAGTATACTACTATTAGGAAGGGCATTTAAGTCACTAGTCATTTTTGAGAAATACATGCTTTGAATGCAAAAGAGATATGTAGTGCTTCACAGAATGTACATTAATGACAGTAAAGTGGAAAGTGCTATGGAAAACCTGACATCCCTGGTGTCTTAAATATCTACTGAAATTAATAAATGATAGTTAGCACTGAAATAAAATTTTTGGTATTTTTACAGCATAAGATGCTGATATTTACCATTTCCCACATTTTCCCATAGGAATTTTCTGACCCACTTTTTGAACTGTAGGATAGTAGCATTATCGGGGACTTCAAGTCCAATGGTATAAAGTTTCTTATACTGCACGCTTTTAGGTAAATCCTAGCAATAAGAAGGAAAAAAATAGTAAAAATTATTGAAGTCTTGCATCAATGAAAAACCTTAAGCAGCATCTAACATAACGTCAATGTAAAACAGTAATTCAAATCCTGAGTAGAAACTGAAAACAATCTTGACACAATTCTATAGATACACTCTCAGAAACTATCATTTACATTTCCACTTTAAAGACCTAATCTCAAAGAACAGTTTCTACAGATGACTTATTTATCCCTGCTAATGAGGCATCACAGTAACTAAAGAGACCACATTCTTGTAATTCCATTGTAACCCATTATACAATTATTAGCAATATTTGTTCCTCCCACCCACAATCATATATATACTCACATATTTACTCCCTTAATGCTTACAGCCCACGCACATTCAAAGATTAACATTCAGTGATAACATTGCTATTTATTTTCCTTTTCAACAGGAGGCTGATTAATCACGGTTGTTTGGACCACACTGGTAAAAAAATTTGAAATTAATAAAGTTTAAAAATGTACACTTTCTTAGTGGATTCCACTATGGATCAGTTAAAAAAACCCATAGGAATAAATGAGAATGTCTTCAGGGCACAGACTGTAAGTCTTCCACATCTTTTCTATGGTGCCTAGCACTGAAGTCTCTCTCCATTACTCTGACTTACCATAATACAAATAAACCACAGATGCAACTAGCTGGGAGAAGGAGTTATTTCCTCTGTAATAAAACATTTAGTTTCTATTGGAGACACAAAATAAGTCTAGATGGCTCACTTGTCTCTTCCAGTTCAAGGTAAGCAAATGCATAAATACTTTAAAACAAAAGTTGCAGCAACTAATTTATTTTGTTATTATGCTTGTATTACCTTAACTTCATAGTATCGTGTGGTATATGTTAAATCAATAATTAATCCAAGCTCCACATTTAAGGCTTTCATAGCAGCAATTAAGTCTTTTGGTGTAAATTTCTGGGTCGGGGTAAGCCTCTGGTTAATTGCCTACAATGAAAATGGAAAAGAAAGAGTTTCTTTTTAAGTTCTAATAACATTTGTAATATTCAGCTGTTTTAATTAGGACTAGGAAATATCAGTATTCAAAAGGGAATGTTTATAGTATCAGAACCATATCCATGTATTAAATGGATAAAAAATGAAAAGGAACTAAATAAAAAGAAAGCAAGAATTTGTCATATATTCCTAGTCAGATGAAAGACAAGAAAACGTGTGAGAATTTCCACTTGTACAATGTTAACAAACATTATTAAAATAAGCACTAATTTGATAGACACAAAAATCCTGCAAAATGCAGCATGTATGTACTGATTTTTAAGTAACCAGACATCAGCAAAAAGTAAAACACCACAATCCCCTTTCCCCCAGACATACTTTGTCCTGCACAATAACACAAAATTAACAGTGTATTTCACATAAAACATTAGAAGTTGTGATACAAGAGTTCATTTCTTCTAAAGGTTTTATCTTTCTTCCCACAAATGTTGTGCAGACATTTTTATCCCGGCTTCATCTCTTGGCAGAGTGTACTTGCATCTCATTTAGCACTGGGAAATATTAAATGGGACTAAAATACAGTGACTAATTGGTGGGTAATGAATAATTAATTTGACAGAAACAGTGGGAAAAAAATGTTTACTCACCCTATTGTAGCTGTGTTTTTTGAAATGTGTTCTTCACTCTAGGTATGAAAATGCCTCATATACGCAAGACTGGATTTTCTCTGAATAGCGTGCTTGTCCATTGTGAGAGCCTTTTGACACAGGCTCAGCCACAACCAATAAAGACAGTGGCAAAAGATGCAGCAGCCTCAACCACCTCTCAGTTCCTTTGTCAACAAGAAATTCAAGCAGACTGGACTCAGAACTAATGGAAAGGAAGGCAGCCACAGACCACATACTTCTCAGAACCACAGATGCTATAGGGTAACTAACCATTCCTTCTTTTGACTGTATGGATTATAATCTAAGATGCTAGCAAGCATTTATCTCGAGTCTGGAAACAGAGACAGGAAACCAAATTCAAGAATAAACAGCAGGACAGTTCTATCAAAGCTGCTATGTGATTAGGAAGCTTGAGCTAAAAAGAGTAGGGTAAAAAGCATATAGAAGTATTCAGTCCTATGTATTTCAGATACTGGGGCACTGCTGAAAAAACAGTGGCAGTTGTTGAGGTTCAAACAAAACAAACACGAGTCATTCAGCAGTGACTTTGAGTAAAATCTGAAACTGAACTCAGTAACTTTGAGGTGACAACAGTGAATCTGCACAAGGTCTATGGCAGAGCATTAAAGAATGTTTTCTTTTACTATGCGAAGTCACACAAACTGAGGTGGAATACAATTTACAAAAATAACATAAAAATATTGCTTGATTGAATAAACACTTAAATGTGTTATGGGACTATTTTGAATTTTCTGAAAAACTTCTGCAAGTATTCAGTAGTTTAGGTGTTTAATTGGTCTCTGAGAATGTGAGAAATCTGTATCAATTCTAAAATCCTTCTATGGCATGGGAAAGAACTTGCCCAGTCCTTACCATCCTACAATGTTACTGTTGGCATTACAATGATGATCTGAAAGGAAAGACCGAAAATCCTTCCAAGTAAACCCATGATCTTAAAGCCTTTACCAGCAGCACATCTTCTACTAAAACAATAACCCTTGAGTCTTGAAATACTGAAAATGTTTTCTCCCTTTGGGTGAAATCACCAATCAATTTCCTAATAGGTAGCAAAGAAGGAAACTCCTGCCTATTTAAGAGGTCTGTTACAGCAATTTAATAATAGGACTTGTGACAGACTATGACCAAACAGGTCTTCAGCATTTCTGGATGGATTTACTGACCCCCACCATCTTTGCAAAGACATCATAGTTTAGCCAGTTATGCATTTTAAGCGTATTGTGTCACAAACTCCACAAGTTTCAAGCACACAGTCTCTGGCACACTTGTCTTGCATAGTCGAGACTGAACAAACTGAAGGGACAGAAATGTTACAGATTTTGCTTTCTTGGGTACCAGACTTTATATCTGACCAAGTTCAAAGACAGCTTCACAGAACAGGGATCTATGTCCCAGTGAGATCAGAAAGAATGGAGGCGAGCAACACACTAACATAGAGTGCCTACTTGTGATATATTGCTATAAACATTCTCTGAGCATGTTGCCCTTTTTATGATCTCTGGTGAAGCTCCTTTCCAGTCTATCACAGGAGCTACAGGGAGAGTGAAGTTAGCAATGAAGTATCTTCCTCTGAAATCTGGAGTGTCAGAGACCTGGAAATAGATACAGTGAATAAATCCTGCCTAGAATAGTGCATCTATGCAAAAAATTGGTGCTGGATCAAGTGGAATTATAGGAGCTGATGATGCAAAAAATCCTCTATCAAATAGCTCAATAGCAAAGAAGCTAATTATAGATCTACTGACTTTTACATTCACTGCTAGGTCTGTTCACTGGTGGTCTTGGTAGTAAGACACACGACTATCGTACAATCCATCAGCACCATGTAGAACACGAACAACGTCAAGTATGAGATCCTTGGTGTCAAAGGAACCAAACCATCATACTAAAGCTGTAAAAGCAGCTGCAGGAAGCAAACCCTGCAAGCATTCCACTTCAGTCAACGCTGATAAAAGTGAACTGAATGGTGAATGAAAACGTAATGGGCACTAATATACCCAAAGAACCAAACTTTTTTTGTATGAATACCAGAGTGCAATCTGTAGACAACAGTTTAGAGTATTTACTCTTAACTGCCAAGTTTATGTCTAGCCACTGAACTTTAAAAGAGCTTAGAAACTTTTATTTCCTGTGTATCTCAAGCAAGGACTTGTAAGAGTTAATTTATACAGAACGGCAAATTTGCCCTATTTGCTCTCATTTGTCCTATGCCTCAATCCACCAAAGAGCTGAAGAGTCTAAAAAAGACAGCCTCCACATTTTGTATTGTCACAAAGAATGAAAGATCTGATTCAATGTATCTAATAGATTAAGATGGCACTCCATGTTAGTAAGAATCTAAAGGAAGTACTAACACATTAATAGAAATCTATGAAGACTTCTTCTTTAAATATATTGCATTCCTCCAGATCACTGAAGCTTTTTGCTTATGAAATTGGTAATCTGAATCTATAATTTTAAAAGTACTGCAATGGCTGGTATCCTTTAATGAGTGCTTGATTTCTGTAAAATTATATTTTGGCTTACATTGCCTAGATTGTTATTCATATCATAACCCCTTCCACATAATTTTCTTACAACAGTCATGAAAAGATGTTAAATAAGAGAATGAATCTAGGCCACTTAATAGTGATCAAATGAATCATGCTGATTAGAGATTTTGTGATTTTTAAAAGATAAATAAAAAAGAGTAACACCAAACACAAAAGTTTAAGAGAAAAAATATAGAATATTATGTAAAAAAGCCACTAGTAGATGACTGAAAAGGCTAAATCTGAATAAATTTTTTTCATAAAACTTTCCTGAAGTTTGTATGAATATTCATACTATTCTTCCTTACTTTTGCAGTCTAATAGACCCAATCTGTAGTTATGTTTTATACATACCCCTTTTAAAGGTACTTTGAAGGCAATAAATCTAGTTCCTGGTATAGGCTGTCCAACTGGTGTCAAACTCCGCCATCTGCAATGAAACAAATATTTATTTTTAAATATTTTCAAATGATATGATTCAACAGAAGACACCGCAGCTTCATGTAAAACTTAAAAAATCTTCTTAGGATTAAAACTTTGATAAGACAAAGCACATAAAAATTATGCTCCTCTAAAATGATAATAAGAGTTATTTCAAACTATACGAAATGTTTTACAAATATCAGGCAAATCTGGTGCCACATTTCACATCCTTTGAATATAACGGTTATTTCAAACTTCTCCAAGCAGAAAGATATGATAGTTATCTTTTTTTTCTATGATGGGCCATGCAGCTACTAGAATAATATATGAAGATTTAGATTTCTGAACAGCAGGATCCAAAAGTTCCTAAAATTCCTTGACCACATAAGCAAGCAAACTGACCAATTAAATCCTGATACGTAAGTAAAATATTTTTAAAAATCCATCTTCCATTAGTAACCTGCCTATTTCACCAAGAAACAAAAATCTTTTTAGAATAACTATAAAAATTTGTTATTATATATTTGAATAAAATTAATAGATCAGCATTATTTTGGGATAAAGGAAACAGGGAGTTGCTGGAAGAGTATCAACAGAATATTGCTACAGCACTGACTAGGGCAGAAGCTTATTTAGCACACTACACAGCTTAAATAAAGACATTTTTATTGTTTCCAAGTCTAAAGTCAGGAGCTGTAATAAAATGAATTTTTATTCCCCGTAGAGCACCACCACAAACATGCAGGATTGCTGCTATTATACAGTAGAATTATGTCCCCAAATCTGCAATTATTCCATGAAGTGGTTTCAAGGTATCATCAGGACATTTGCAAACAGTCTTTTTTCTTCCTCCTTCTTCAACTTCCAAAAAATTCCTCCCCTCAAAATGGTAGGACAGCATTTACAAACAAGTAGCACCAATATAAAGCAAAGCAGATGGGTAAGGTTCAACAGGTTAAAAAAATATTGTTTTATTACAGTTGGTGTAAATTTTTTAACTTGGCTGAATCAAACACCTTTAAGAAGTTATTATATACTTGCATCAATCACTTAATTGACAAAGAAATGCAAAGTTTACTTCCATTAAAAACACAAAGTTGCTTCTTTTTCAAAGAAAGACTCTTGATTGCACTTTCTCTAGGTACTTGGAAAATACAGAGAATATTCCATCACACCAAAACTTGGCCAAAATCACCTAATGATTGAAGGTGATTATATGAAGATATGAATATATATCATATATATATTCATTCATATCATATGATATATATATCATATTAATATGAATAGCTCAAAATGCTAGTAATTCCAAAACCACAAAGAACTGGTATTCACAAATTCTACACTGTACTGAAAAAACTCTTGATATACCACCTTTCAGAGATTTCAGGTTTTTTTAAAAGTATGAAGAGTTTATTTGAAGAGGAAAACAAGTTAATCAGCAGATAAATTTTACCTTCAAAGAGGTAACTTACTAAATTTAGGACTTTTATTTCGTCTCCTCATGCGAGGACAAATTATCTCCATGACCTCAGAAGATGCAGCTGGATGACTTAAAATCTACATAAGCTTTTTGCATTTTCCGCTAGGACCTCAACTATTAAAACACAAAACATTTTCATAAGATTCTTTAACACTGGTGCCCATTCATTTACAATTTTCTAAATTAATGTTTTAATTAATCTCTTCCTTTAAAGGGAACATCCAACAGCTTCTAGATTCCTTTCTGATTTCCATAAAATCACATTAATTTATGAAATAAACTGAATACTCTGTGTTAAAATATACTCACCACTGAATATTTCGCTTTGTTCACAATTCCCATATAGGACCATAACAAAAACTAGATGTTGGCTGGCAAAATTCTCAATAAAATGTCCATAATTATACTTGTCATAGTATATAAATAATAACGTGACCATTCATAGATGCTTGGAAGTAACAAAGGAAACACTTATAGCATGGTGACCAGAAGCATAACTGATACTAACAAATCATGTAACAATCTACTACATCAGTGTCTTTAGCGCTAACTTAGCTTTTTCATCTTCATCATGAGCTAAAGAACAGATTGAGGCTCACAATGTAGACATACAGATGCTTAGTTTAATGGATAACAAATGAAGTAACAAAGGAGTAATAACAACTCATCATTGGGAAGGTGGTTGCAAACAGCTGTCACATAGAAGACAGATACAAGGTGAGATGGTATGAGGACAAGCTAGAGATTAAACCACTGAGATGTATTTACAGTAAAACCTTTTACTGCATTCTAAATTACTACAGAAACTTTGTACCTCATAATTGCAAAGACAGAACAAAAACAATCTCCTACTTCATATATTCCCTTATTCCCTCAGCTTGGGATAGTTGCATACAGGGGAAAATAAAAAAGAGCACATTCTCAGTCACTGTAGTTTGAAAGGCATTGCTCAAAAAATTACATGTAGTGTATTATAGAAGAAAAGTATTCTAACTTGAGAAGTCTAAGTGAATTTTTGAGCTTGTAAACTTTGGAGTCTCGTAGTTGTACACCAGCTGTGAAATATGAAAGCAAAAATCCGAGACTATGTTCCATTTATTCTAGCTTAAAATACATAGATTGTATTAAGATCATTAATGATCATAAACAGTGTAAATGGACTGAAAATATTACTGAAGCTAACAAAAACCACAATATAATGAAATATCTTAGTTGCAAGAAGTGCTCAGTTAAAAAAAAAAAATAAACAAAACCTACACAAAACCTATGAAATCTGCCCTGTGCATAGTTTAATTTTATCTCGTTCACTTCATCTTAGAAAGGCAATAAATGCTGTGAACATTATTTAGATGTACATTTAATCCGAACTACTGTTAAAATTAATTACAAAGTCAGGTTTAATACCAGCTCCTGCCTCTTGCTAATTTTAATAACTCTGGAAATTACATGTATTTATTTAAAACAAGGAAATACTCTTCCTGCTTTTGCTCTTAAATTTCCAAATAGAAATAGAAAATAAGCTGTACCTAGAGATACAGAAACTAGTGAGCAAAAGCTGTCATAAAGATAAAACAAACAAGAATACACTATTTTTTTCTTCAACCTAGTTCAACTACTCTTTGGTGTTACCTCTACCAATAAAATGTACTAATTCTTTACAAAAGTAGGATTTAATCTGACAGCCAGCCATATTCATAGACACATGTTTAGAAACATTTTGAAGGAAGGCAGAAGTAAAAAATGCTGACCACAAAAGACCAGTTATGTAGTAAGACAATTTAAAAGATGCCATAAATTAGAAATTCAGATTATTTTAAACTGCTTTCTTTTGGAAAACTATCAGTGTAAATATACCATGATTATCATAAACATGAGCAATTAGGGGCCAATAAGAAATTATCAAAAAAAGGCTTAAAAATCTTATTTTCTTTAATCAGCAATGTAAAAAATGCTTTGTAAAAATTCTGAACTTTTTTCATATTAAGGGATTGACAAAATAATGCACCAGGATTACACAGTGTGTAGTCAGACCTTAGTAAACTCGGGTTTTTATTCTCCTGTATTCAAAGCCATTTAAATCCTCCCAGAAAAAAAATCTGCAAACTCAGCAAGAAACTCAAAAGCTGCTGACAGCTCAATGGTAGAAAATGAGCAGAAGGCACTCTTCATCAAAAAATATAAAGGGTATGTGTTCCATGTTATGTTTAAAATAATATTTTAAAAGGAAATTTCAGCATACTGCTGCCAAACTAAAATATATCTCAAATTAAAACCAGCAGGCTGAAATTAAGCAAAGATTGGCTAAGGAAATAAATTCAAAATTCTTCTGTTGTCAACAAAGGAATATGGTTGGGAAGTATAGGAGACAGGGACTAAAGAAAGTAAAACTCTTACAGAAGAAGTCTAGATAAAGACAGAAGTGACCAAAGACAAGTAAGCTGCAGGTGGTCACATAAACAGGAGTGACAGAAGCAAAGACATAAATAAGCGTTTTAACAAGTATCAATGAGTATTGTGACATCTTTTGTCTCCTGCTTGAACGTAACTGGAAGAAAGCCAGAAGTCAAAGGTGTTACGACAAGACTTGGCACCATCATCATTCCTGTACCAATGACTAAATGTAATAGAGGCTTGAGTGAAAAACAAGCTGGACATGAAGTAGCTGAAAAGACAGCAGGAAGAGTTTCCTGAAAGAGGCAGTGGTATTTTACCGAGACACAGGCATGGAATTTATTTCTAAGCCTAGAAATAAATCTAGGCATTTGCTTCACAGAGGTAATAGCTCTGGCCATAGAACCAATGGCATTCACATTAGAAAGATATTGTGATAAGAATCTAAAATGGAATCATGTAAATTCAGAGAAACACTGCTTCCCAACACAAATAATAGTCAGAAGGCGGCATATCCAGGAAGAAACTGAACTCTGAAAAATTCTGTACAAAACACAATGGTTGTCAAATTGCAGACAATCTAGGTCAGCATACATTAGAGCAAACTACCATCTTAAAATCTGTGGTATTTCTGGTCTTTTCACAAACAAACCTCCTTCAGAATTTCAAGAACCATGTAAAAATAACTGCACAAACTCTTAAGTTTGCATCAAAATAGCTATGATAGGCTTTCATGGGCTCAATATGGTAATTAAAATTTTTCCGAACTCTAAACTATCCAAAGCCACAAAAACCCAAGAATTTGCACGTTCAAGTAGCAAAGTAATTAAGAGAGAACAGCACTTAAATAAAAAGTGACATATTGTGGACACATGATACATTTTCAGTTACAGCTTTATTTTTCTAAGTTTTCAAAAAGGTAAACAATCCCTGGACTACATGCAGATCAAAACCGGAAAGTCAGCAAAACATATAAATTAACCAATTATGTAACTATTTAGCTTTTGCAGTTCCCACTTCCCTATCATGTTTTGTCTTCATCACTCCCCAAATACCATCAATTATTTTAAAACACAGGCAGAATTTTGCCTGCTGTTCTAAATAAAACAATCACTTCTTGGTTGAGAAAAAGT